CGGAGTAAGCGAATAACAGAGTAAGCAAATAGCAGAGTAAGCAAATAGCGAAGTAAGCAAATAACATAGTAAGCGAATAGTGAAACCTTGCTGAGAGCTTGAATGTTATACAGTGCATTCTCCAAACGCAAGAACTAATTTAAGTTATTTAGCGTTTTATAGATGTTGAAGCAATTGTATGCAAGTTAGGTAAAGTTTGAGACGTATATTGGGGTTCATTAGGTTGAGAAGTCATTCGATGAAGGTGAAGCTGGAGTGGATGAGGGGTGCAGGGTTTATTATGAATGCAATTAAATGATCAAATCATAAAAATTGCTATACGCAATTAATCTTCATTAAACATAGTTATTTGCATGCACAAATTGCTAAAAATATGCAAAACTTGTGTTCCCTTCAAAATTTATAGATAGTTTAACATCTGTTTTAAATTAAGAATTTTAGACAATTTGTTTTCAGGAAAAACTTGAACCCATACCTCATGGTCCACTTTGTTTTTATGATTTCTACAAAACACTTTCTTGTCTTCCTGGAACACAGCGTTCTCGTTGCGGGCACACATGAAGTGATAGTTGCCGGGGCAACCTCGCATACAACAACCAACAGTAGCACCAAACCGATGACATCTCTCGCAACGCTATGAATAAATAAAAGAATCATTTATTTACAACACACACAGATGTCATTCAACAGATTTAACATATAAAATAGTTTTTAAGACTAATGAAAAAACAAAGACTTGTGTAATGCACAAGACAATGAAGCATGTGTACTCCTTTTCAGGGAACGAGACTTATTATTAATTGTAAGAATATCATTTGTTGATATCTCATGTCATGTGCTCAGTAAATCAGAAAATTTTGTCTAAGTGACAAAATAATATTTTATAAGATTTAAGACACTTTCAAGGCCTTAAAAAGAGGGAAATATTGCTGGAACTCTGTGGCTGCTAAGTTTTAGCGCTCTATTCATCATAAAAGATAGCAACATTGCTCACTAGCTGTATGTCCTTATCTCTATATACCTTTGATTAAAGAGGTACAGCTCAAGCACTGGTGGAGGGAGGAGTTTTTTCAACACGTATAAATTGGACAAAAAATCTAGAAAAACTAGATATATACTGTACCATTTGTCTTCCTCTTGTAACAGCAGAGTGAACATTGATCAGAGAGCCGTCAACTTCTTCAAACACTTCAGCAGACCACAATGCACAATTGATATGAATCCACTCATCCTGCCCACAGTACAACAAACGACCAGCGTCCTGCAAATAAATGATCCATGTATGTATGATGAGCACTGACTTACGATTACATTTCATCTGTTAGAAGCACAATGGTCACCATCAAGGATTAGTTCTTGAGTAATAAATACATAACGGGGATAGACACAACATAATATGCACACCCACACAAACACACACATGCAAATACAGACATGAAACTTGACGGACACAGCATCATAGTCAATCTAATATAGACTCGTAAACATACATACATGCATGCAGAGGAACGAACGGACGATGGACAGACGGACAATAACATAATAACCCACACAAACACACACATACAAATACGGACGGGCTGGCGGGCAGACATGCGGACGGACAGACATACTGATGGATGGATGGATGGACGGACAACTTACATTAGGTACATCATCTCCAAAATGTCCACACAAACAGCACCTTCGTGGATCCTCAATATTGATATCCATTGGAATATCGTCAATCCCTCCCTCTACAAAAAGATTTATAAAAACAGCAATGAGAGAACAGTGTAAAACTTGTCAGTGACTAATGTCAGCTTTCGATGAAATTAAATACAACAATACAATACAAACATTTCCAAATCAAAATATGAGTATATTAATATGTACATACATGTATGTATTCATAAATTGATCAATAACTTTTTATATTTCAACAAACAGGCACAAATTAACACTTGTTTATTATCGATGAAAATTCGCAACGTGAAAATGGTAATGTTCGAAGGTCAAAACTTACCTTCATCTATTTTTTTCGGTGTTGGCGGCAGTTTCTTTAGCGGTGATGGTTGCGGTGTTTGTGGTGTCATATATTTCTCCCTCCACTGAGCATATTCGTGATCTCGATGCGGCGGTAATGTAGCATTTGGCAACATTCCACTAAAATAAACAAGAAAAACATAAACTGTTAAATAACTGTTTTCAAAGCTAGAAAAAGAAAAAATGGTTAATTAAAAATTCTGCACATTGTCCACTGTTGCTGTTTTCTCATTTCCTCTACAACGTGGATACTTTCAGCAGACGATGTATGAAACCAAGTCTGAACACACAATTTACGATTTGAGGGATTTTCCAATTCCAAAATAATCAAACATGAAAACTTAACCACACCAGACAATGAAAATTAAAGCATAAAAAGCAGTTTACACATCGCATGGGACCCCACAACACAACACAACACAACACAACACAACACAACACAACACAACACAACACAACAAGACACAACACAACACAACACAACAAGACACAAGAACTATAGTGCTCTAATAAAAATCATAATAAAACTATTTAAATTTTTCAAGACAAATTAATGCAATTTTTGTAAAACAAATTTTTGGATGAAAAATCATGAAATTCAACTCCCACGAACACTCTTAGATTATATGAACCTACAATTTATAAACTTTCATCCAATGTGATTAAAATCTGATGCAGTTAGGGGCTCTAGTCGCTTTTAATTCCAATCGCCAGTGAGAACTAATCAGCAACAAATCAGAACTCTTGTTACAAACCGCAAACTGGAAAGATGCATCATTTGGTTGACAAATCCCATGAGAGGAAAGCTACTAGAACCAGACATGCATAGGTAATTGGTCAGACATAGTTAGTGGCGATGTGACCGACTAGACTGACAATCTACTAGAACCTCAGATTTTACTTAGATTGGCATTCAGCCAATATTGAACAATTTACCATGTGCAGTACATGTCCTGTCATAGACTAACTAAATAAAAATGTTTTCAGGATTTTTATTTTTATTCGAAAACTGTCCTTAAATTTCCTTAACATTTTCTAAAATTCTTAAAAAATATACTTTCAAAAAAAGCTAACAGACAAGCAGCGACCACAAATATGAATTAGAGAAAAAAAATACTGAAAAATCGTTTTATTTTCCCTTGCATTTAATTTCATTATTTATACTATGACAACATACATATTAACCTGGTCATCTCACCCACAATGTAAAATGGCCTGCCCCTTATACTTGTGGACATTATTGTGACAAGTATATACCAACTAGTGTACAGTGGTTGCACAGCACACAATGAATGTTGACACATGCATGTGGAGGGGGGGGGGTCAAGTAATTAAACAGAATTCACACCATGATGGCTGTGACCCTGCAATTTACATAAAAACAATAGAAACTAAACTCACTCGGGAAGGTTCTTGTTGTGATCCCAGAACGTTGACGTATGCACGTTGAACCACGGGAAGACTTTCTCCATTTGCTGCATTATCGAAAAGAGCGGCAAAAAAAATGTCATCATTATATATTTTTAAAAGGCACAACAGGAATGTAGACCGAATACGCCTACCAGTAACAAATTGGTCACGACTTATCCCTCCAAAAGATCAGCTAACACAATACGTACCCTTCTACTTTTATATACCCAAAGCCATAGGTTCACAACTTCAACCCAAGAAGTTTTAGACGAGAGGAACTTACCTTTATAAATACATTTTTTGCAACCCTGTTTCCTTTTTTAATCACCATGTTCTCGTCAGTCTCATTAGAAATTGATTCCTGGATAATCCTAACGATTTCGTCACAAAAGTGTGTCTAAAAAAAAGAGAGAGAGCGGCATTATGTAAATGTTGCATGTTGAAATGTATTCCTGAATAATTTTGAATAATCATAATTTTCAGATCAAGCCAAAGCAATGATAATCACAGGAACCAAAATATTCTTTGCATATCTGTGAATAGAAAACATACAATCTCACCCCCACACAATACTCACCACTGAGTTAAACTTTCCTGCCTCCATTCTTTCATTGACGCACATTAAATCCGGCGCATGGTCCTTTTTTGGTACTTTTGGTGAATCCGGAACTACTAACACAACTTTATTCTTATCCGGTACATGTACAGGCACAGGTGAGGTCTCCAGACAACCGGATTTTGCAGTCAATACATCAGTCTTTGCAAATAAAAGATCAGAAATTGTGTCTGGGGGTTTAATTTCATCATTGGGCTCTTTTGGAGACACACTCGCAATCTCTTTGTCACTCTGTTCTTGCTGTTTCGGTGGAGTCAGTAAATTATCCGAGCTTTCTTGCTGATTGTTTATAACACCCTCATCCTTTGGCAGTTCCTGATTGGTAGGTTCAAGTGATGACTCCATCTGATTGGCAGGTGACAAACTTTCTTCACTCTGATTGGTTTTTGGATCCACATTCTGAATCGTGTTTAAAACAGGTTCATTGCCAATCTCCATAGGTTCAACACTGTTTGTTTTTTGGTCGTCATGTACCGTGTTCATTTCACTTGTTTTTTCCGTACAGGTTGTTAAAGTTGGTGATGTTCCCTGCTCTGATTGGTCGACAGATTTTGCTAATTCCTTTGGAGGATCTTCCTTCTGCAACAAAAATAGATTAATTCAACACCTTATAAAGCCAGGTTTTGCATTCTTCTGCAACTTATGTTTAATTGTTGACTTTGACTATAAGTCTTGACAATAAATCTAAAAAACAAAGTGGAGAAAGATGACAAAAATGGAGAATGTCTTTGAAAAAGTCAATAATTCCCCCAAGCTATGATTTGACCTCTTAACAAGAAAAAAACTATTTTCTGTTTTTTCACAACTTATTGCATAAAGATCCGTTACCTTGTCTCGCTTCCTAAGTAGATGTTCCACACTTTTTGTCTCCAGTAGAATCCCTAAGACTAGCTGAAATCCCGCTTGCATTTCTTCATGGATATCCGTCTGCCACTGTGCCGACCGTTCAGGCTGGCATTTAGAGCATGTATAGTGGATGTCTTCGGGGAATTCGCACATAATCTGGTACATTTCATCTGATGAAAGAGAAGGAGATGTTATCACGTGAACGTAAGTAATTCTGAGAAATCAGAGACTACACTTTGTTGCTACTTGTACAACACAAAAAGATTAAACTACTGCCTATAATAGAATTTGTTACTGATAACTTAGACTTAGAAGTTTAGTAATAAAGATCCAATCATCTTCGGAGTTTTAAGATTTGTTGATCCCAGTACAGCAACCAGGTAGGTGTAGTAATTAAATATTAAAAAAATATATAATATATTCTGGCCAGTGATAATCTCTAATGATGACCTTTATAGGGGAACACATTCTCAGGACATTATTATTGAAATTAAGAGCCGAAGACTGAGATGGTCGGGTCATGTTCTCAGAATGCCACAAGACTCAATCCCCAAAACAGCACTTTGCTGGATGGCACAGGGTCAACGAAACAAAGGGAGGCCAAAAACTCGCATGGAAAAGAACCATTACCACAGAACTTGCCCAAGCAAACCTGACCTGGAGTAGAGTAGAGATGGTGGCCAAGGATAGATAGGAATGGTAGAACCTGATTGCAGCCTTATGTCACGGTGTGGGATGAAATGGACCACAGAATATATATGTTTCATGACATTTAATATCCCAGACATAAATCTCTCCTGATATAATGACATGGTGTGTGAACATCACAAGAATCTGATGATCTTAACCAAGTAATGTTGGCTTCCCCAGGAAACACACATTTTCCTTTTTCAATGTTTAACCACATGTAGGATTTCAGGTCAAAGATCACATGGCTATGTGCGATATAGTTACCTGTAAGTCCTTCACATTTAGCGTGCACCCAGCTTTCACAGCACGGACACTGCATCATTTTGGAATCGTAGTCGTCGTCTGTATAACATTGTTGACATAGAGGGCAGTAGTTACCTGAAAAATAAACAATGATGTTGATTTTACTTCAACTGCACGACTTTTATACAGGCCTTTTCGTACACCATTTTACCTAATGACTGTAAACCATTCATTTTTTGCCACAAGAAATATACAGCAGGAAATCAGAGAACACTCGGTCCGTGCTTCTTATACGTAATACCATGGACTGTGATAAATCACTAATACTGTAAAGGGGGTAATTATTCACCGGGTTTTAATTTTGCTTATTTCGCTGACTGGAAAATGTGCTAATTTAAAACCCAGTGAATATGTAAAATTTACCATAGAACACATTATCTAAATGACAAAACCGTGAACTTAAAACCCACTGAATATGCCTGAAATGGTAAATCAGTGAAATTTAAACCCAGTGAAAATTAGTCATTTTACAGTAATGCCCCCCCCTACTTTATTTCTAATGTCAAACGTAAGCAGTGTACTCACCTATGTCAAAAAGTTTCCCGCAATCTTGGCAAAGCGAGAAGTCATGTGACCATTGTGCGCTGGACGACTGTCCAGGAGTAGTAGCACCGCAACTTTTACAACGTACACACTTTGTACAAATCTGTCGGAACAATCGTAAACCACCATTGCCAAAAACGTGAATTAAAACATGAATAGAGAGATATGTATCAATTTTGATAATTCTGATATCAAAATAAGAATGCTTACCCAAACTTTCTTCTTTTTGGTGGGTTTTGTCGGGTAATTTGGACCAAGGCACTCGGCGTGATAGGTATTATGACATTTATCACACTGCAATAACTAACAAACAAACAAACAAAATACAGAGATTATGTCACATGACCAATCATAATCTGACTAAACTTTTTTAACCATATACACAAGTCAGACAACACTCATTATCACACAGTTAAATAATTTTTTCTCCCCCATTATGCCACTCACGCTTTTAAGAAATTTTCCGTAGCTTTATTATTTCTCTGACTGTTTTGTTACGTGTGTAGAGCCAGATTTAGAGATTGTTTTAAAGATCACAAAGGTTATTTCTACATTAGGCTTTATGTTTCTGGTCAGTGTGTGCTTCCAACCAGAAAAGAAGTGGTCTGATCTCTTTTTTTTTACTTTTATTTCACCACTACACAGTGTCCTCTAGTGATGATTTGATTTGATTTGATTAAACCTTTAAAATTTGCACACATTAAAATCAAATAATTTAGGGGGAAAAAATTGTCCCTCCGTCTCATGTTTGAACAAGCCATGCGAGAAATGCTTGATTTCAGTACAAAAATCATTCGGCCATCTTGAATCAGATCGTGAAACAACAACTTGATGTGCATATGTATAATATTATGTATGTGTGAATGTAATTGGTCCAGGCATGTCTAAGATATAGATCTTGACACACGCCAATCAATAAGTTCTTAACTTCGAACTTAAAAAACGAATTGACCATAACATTTTTTTTTTCAAGGCCTGATTCAGCAAAGTATAAGCAACAAATATTTAGAAAGACCAAAAAAAAAACTAAATTCATTATCAATTGGTATCAACAATCCTCAACAACAAAATGAACTTACGTTTTGTTGTCTGCCGCACACGTGGCAAAATTTACATCGTTTACAGCACCAAATGTCGGTGTTGTCGTCTAGGGGCTTCTCATCTTCTTCTAAACAGAATTCATGGAATGGTTCACAGCACACGTTACAATAAACTAACTGAAATAATAAAAACAAACAAATACGATTATTACGACAAACTTTCAAAAAAGAAAAACTGAATAGTTTGAGTTGCGGACATTTAGAACCACACCCACTCTTTCTAAAACTCTGCCAAATTTTGACTCAATCTTCAATTAACATTTAACCAAACTTTGAGTTACGAGCAACATAGATTCTTTGTTTGACATTGTATGTATTAAAGTTCGGGAAACTGTTAATCAAAGTTTGAGTTAATAAATTTGAACATTAAACAAAACATGAAATCTATGATGCCCATAACTCAAACTTCAGTTAAAAAGTTTGAGTTGAGTAAATGTGAACATTCATCAAGAACCAAAATGTATATTGCCTGTAACTGGAAGTTCAAGTACAGAAAACAATAGAATTTGCCACTCTAAATCAGCAACTTGTTTTCCTTATATGGATAAACAATGTCATTAACAAGGTTATTGAGGTCACATTTAAATATTTTCCTTTGTTTGCATTGGTCACAGAAAAAATACAGGCGTGAAGAAAATAGATTCCCGTCAATCAATGGAAACTTGTGCACAACAAAAAAATTTGTTATGTCCATTTCAAAATAAGATCTTTCATTCAATTATTATCACATGAAGAAAAACGATACATAATAATAAGGTTATTATGCGAATACCAGAATGGGTCGATACGATCACCGTATTACTTTTTATAACATTATATTTATAACACAGTGTTATTGGGGGAACCAGAATTGTAATTGCATATTAGAGAGTAAGACATGGTGGGAGTGTGTACGAATCTATTGCTATCTGAGCGGTGGCTGGGTTGGTGTGGCTTGTTAGCTTGTGTATATATCTAGTACCGTCGCTTATGTGTGGGCTTCGAATACGAACGCAACGTTCAGCACCATCAATGTGGTTTGATTGACAAACCTCATTGACGGTGCTGAATGACAATTACACAAAACTTAAATTGCTAATAACCTTTAACGAGTTTTGACGTAGACATATCTCATTAATATTATTTGAAAGTTAAATTATTAATAGAAAGCATTTATTATGAAACGCCGTAATCATGTATATTCCACACCCTTTCTATCACAATAAACTGGTCACCAAATGTTTCTGGCTTTTACACTGTCAGGTTTTGATTGTATACAGCGCCACAAGTGGCTGTTCCCGGCTACATGTGTCAAGTAATACACTGGGACCCATACTAAATTCTGTGAAAGATGAAAGTTTACACATACCTCCTGCTGTCCAGTACTAGCACACAGAAAACACACTGTCCTGGTTACCATAGGCATGGTTGATATCAGCGGCATCCCATAATCCCATATACTGGAGACTTGATAGTCTTCAGGCTGTGTGGGTAATATAAAAACAATCACTGACTCAGGTAAAGCAGAGTACCAGAGAAGGTAATTCATCAGAGTCAATCAGTCGTACTAGCAGGTTTGTTAAATAATAATTATTGCATTGTTATACAATGTGGTTACATGCTATGTATACAACACATGTAAAATGCACTGTTTGTTTTCACAAAATGTGGTGTGACAACTGTGGTGTTTTAAAACAGAGTTTGCAGACAAAAAGTGTTTGAAAGTGCTCAGTTTTTATTTAGGGTAAATCATACACCGGTACCGTAGATGATATATTTGTCAGATGAAAAAGCAAAACTGTGTTGCGGTGAACATTACATTAGAGTGCTTGAAATTTTGAAAAACTTCTAACAATAAAGATTGAACAATTTACTGACTACTCAGAAATAAACTCACCTTGAACTCAATTTTAATTAGGCTACCGTCTTCTGTGACTGGAACAGTCTTTGGTCGAATCGCAACACCACTGCCAGGCACGGCGACAGTTAGCGGCATAGGCTTGGGTCTTTCCTATCAAGTCAGAGAAGTCACATAATGACGAAAACAAGATTTCGGCCACAATCGTCTCGTAATTTTTTAAGACTACAAAATCCAAATCTGATTAGGTCGTTTAATGTACGGTCACCTGAATACATTGCATCTAGCAACATCTGATAAAATCATGGTCAGTAACCAATCAGAACTCACAATACATGTCACTTTCCAGTAAGGGATGATATGATTGGCTGACAAACCTTAGTTACCTGAGATGATTTGCAAAGTCATTGGATAATACAGCTGTTTTTCAATGATTATTTCTAATCCACACGTTGCAAGTTCAACATTCTATACTTAAAGCGGTGGAGTCATCGCATGTGCATGCGTCAGATGGCCATAGCATGTAATTGTTTACAAACAAGTGTCTACCCATGAGCCTTTACGTTTTTAGAACTTGGGACGCAGCTGACGACCCTTCCGCTTTAAATAAAAGCTTCAATCGTAAAAAATATACATGTCTCACCTCTTTCTTCTTTTTTATTCTCGGTGGCGGTTTGTCCCTTCTCCGTGGAGCTGCAGCTGTTTGAAAAAAAAAACATTTATGTGAAAAGTTGAAATGCTGTACAAGTCGTTAAATCATTAAATCAATACGCTTAATCATTAACGTTTACGCCAAGAAAATGTTGGCTGATAAAAGTTACCTAATTTAATGAATGCGACTTAATACAGGCTGCGATAAAAATATATGAAAAAACATCAGCTTTTCAGTATTGAAAGTAGTAACAGCGATACAAATAGCACCAGCCAAGTATCTGGGAATAATCCATGTTACTGTGTTATGTTTGTTTTTTTCTGTCCCCACTGCAATTCCCCAAGACAGTAACCATTTCATGGTCTTTGGCAACATTAATGTCTAATGAAAAGTCATTTAACTTACCTTTATCACCAGTCGTTTCCAACCGAACAGGATTCTTGCATTTTTTCTCACTAGCAACAACAAAAATACAATTGTATAGTTTAATCATTTTTTAAATTTTTCACAAATTTTAATACATTTTAAAGATTTATTGAGAATGTTTTTGCATAACTGAGTGCTCGGTCATTGGGACAGTAATAAAGACTTTGTGGTAATAGCGGAGGACTGAAGGTAAAAACGAGTATTTACGTCACATGACATGCAAAGTAAAAACAACCAAATTATGACTACAATATGTTTATTAACTTTACATTGCTAAGGCCAAACAACACAAAGTTGGTGTTTCTGGTAATGAAAAAAAACAAACAAATATTTGGCAAGAAGGCAAGGAATTATTTTATTTTATTTTTTTATTCTCTACATATTTTTCTTTGATATAACTACCGTTAAAGTCCTAATATAAACCGCATACGTAATAGTAACCGCACCCCCAATTCCGGCTTCGGGGTTAAAGAGTTCCTAACAAAAATTGAAAACTTGAAAAGTACCTTTTACTAACCGCACCCCCAATTCAACAAGACCGTGACTGACTTCATTGTTTCAACCAGCTGTTCCAAAACGGCATTGTTCCTAATCCTATTCATTTGTTTTGGACAACATGCCTAAAAATATTCACACCTATTTATTGTTCAGCGGTGATAAGATGTCAGACAGGCAATGAAACTGCTTTTGTTCTGGCGGCGACCTCTGTCAATACTATTTCTGAATACGTCTGTGTTTCGTAAGTTTTAGACAATGAGCTTTTAGCATTGAAGATT